CTGGATTTTAAACACAGAACAAAATAATTTAAATGAAGGTTTTAAAGCTAGTTAATGATAATTTTACTGGGGCCTTGATCTTAGGGTTTCCAATCAAAAATCCTGAACTGTGCGGAGTTCAATTGAATTGCTTAATATTGCTTAGATTTGCTTAGAATTGCTTAGAATTGCTTTAGAATTGCTTAGAATTGCTTAGAATTGCTTAGCATTGCTTAGAATTGCTTAGAATTTCTTAGAATTGACAAGAATTGCTTAGAATTGCTTAAAATTGCTTAGAATTGTTTAGAATTGCTTAGAATTGCTTAGAATTGCTTAGAATTGCTTAGAATTGCTTAGAATTGCTTAGAATTGCTTAGAATTGCTCAGATTTGCTTAGAATTGCTTAGAATTGCTTAGAATTGCTTAGAATTGCTTAGAATTGCTCAGATTTGCTTAGCATTGCTTAGAATTGCTTAGAATTGATAAGAATTGCTTAGAATTGCTTAGAATTGCTTAGAATTGCTTAGAATTGCTTAGAATTGCTTAGAATTGCTTATATTTGTTAAAAATTGCTTAGAATTGCTTAGATTTGCTTAGAATTGCTTAGAATTGCTTAGAATTGCTTAGAATATTGCTTAGAATTGCTTAGAATTGCTTAGAATTGCTTAGAATTGTTAAAAATTGCTAAGAATTGATTAGAATTGCTTAGACTTGAAACTGCACGGAATTAAAGGGCTCGCAATTGCGCGCATGTAAAATCCACATGCGTTAGATGATCTTGAGCAAATGATTCTTGCTGATATTAAAATAAAGATAATTTTAAAATTTAATTTAATAATTTCATCAATTTGAGAGTGGCCTTTCTGAACAACAATGAGAGAGATATTGTCGTTTTTTATTTTATAGAGTGCGTTAAATTTACTTAATTTTTCTCCGCTGCATAAATTCATTTGTCACTTTTACAGAGAAACATTAATTTAAAATAATTATTGCCCAGATTGAAAAGAAAGGATAGCTAAGACATTTTGCTCAAATGAAGGTTTAAAGGGTACCGTTGTGAATATGGGAATTTAGCGTTGAAGTAAGAGTCAATTGAAATTACAACGACATCTTCTTTAATATCCCTGGTATTGTGGAGGTTATGTCAGAGGTTTAATACTAGTTTAATACTGGTTGAGGTTGGCACCAGCTGACTGCAGTTGTTAGGCATTAGAACCTCCGCCATCCTCTATACTTAACCTCCTCCAGTCATTCATTCATTCATTCATTCATCTTTCATCCCTCCATCCTTATCTCTCATAATAGTCCTAGAATATATATTTGGGTTGTTTATTTGTATCCAATAAACGTTAGAACGGATGAACAGATTGGGGCCAATTTTTTGCAACCAATATACCCTCAGGGAAGTTTTCCAAATGTTGTCTGAAAAAGATGTCGATTTTATGAGATAGATAGACAGATAGATAGATACATAGATGGATAGATAGATAGATAGATATATATATAGATAGATAGATAGATAGATAGATAGATAGATAGATAGATAGATAGATAGATAGATAGATATGGAGGCGCGTCGGTGGGAAAGAAAGCTTTTGCATGTATTGTGTACTAAAATATGTAGATATACTCAACAGCAGAGCTAAAGAACGAATATATATATTTTGCATAAAATATTGAAACTAGATAGATTCAAAATAAACTAAAAAACATGAATTTTTGGTCCCATAATAGGATTATTCAATAAGATTAAAACTAAGAGGGATGATCAATAAGGGCTCAGTAACATTATGCCTAGTTACCGAATGCCTAGTTCGTGAATGCCTAGTTCACTATGCCTAGTTCATGAATGACTAGACAACATTATGCCTAGATTTCTGAATGCCTAGATAACATTATGCCTGGATTTTTGAATGCCTAGTTCATAATGCCTAGATAACATAATGCCTAGAGAACACAATGCAAAGATTCATGAATGCCTGGATAACATTATGCGTAGATAACATAAGAGTGCATTGAATGCCTAGACAATGTATTTCAAAGAGAAATAAAAATATTAAAGAGAGGTAAAAAAAACATGACAACCAACATGACAATATGACAATCCGGTAAAATTTTTACAAAAATCCGCAAACAACTTTCTGAAAATGTGCAACTTCAGTTGAAGTTTGACACGCAGCAGCAATGGCTGCTCTCATAAGTGCAACTCGGACGAGAAAGGGAGGTGATGGATTAAGGAACAAATACAACTTTAACTATGTTGGGAATGGCTCTGGATTGCAAAGCTACTCTTATCACCAGAATTAGTATCATTTATTTATTGCTTGACAATGTCTATAGGCATTCAATTCAGTCAAATGTTATCTAGGCATTGGGAGACTAGGCATTATGAAATATAGGCATAATGTTATATAGGCATTCATGAATCTAGACATGGTGTTATCTAGGTATAATGTTATCTAGGCATTACGAACTAGGCATTCATGAATCTAGGCATAGTGAACTAGGCATTCACGAACTAGGCATTCGGGAACTAGGCATAATGTTACTGAGCCATATTTATACCGGATACATTTTTGGCCAGGTTGGCGTCAAGTAGATTATTTTTGTGATGAAGGTGGATTAGGTTCGTTGTCACAGCACAAGAATATTAATATTAACCAGAGAAAGGAGACACTTTGGAGGCTTGGTTACCCCAAATTTGTTTTTCAGTTTATGCGAAAACCAACCAGAACCCTTAAACATGATCCAGAGCGCATTTTAAACGATTTTATGAACTATAATTGTGGTTTAATGGGGTGAAGAAGGAAGAGATGAATATTTGAAGGATTATGAAATGTCCGGACAGGAAAAGACCATTAAGGCCCCAAAAATGGTCAAAAATGTTGAAAATTATTCAAACCTTTTTAGCAAGGGTTCAAGAAGTATGTTTGCCAGACAGTTTGTTATATGTTTTTACATTGTAAACAAAGTTGTAAAGAAAGATTTGAAAATTGCAAAGATCTGGGTTAAATGTCCCAAAGTCTCTGACATAGGACCAGAGAGAAAACATTGACTATAGGATCTTAAATGTAAATCAAAACCAGAAAAACCCTCTAAAAGTCCTTCTTACATCAAATACTCAATCTTTCTTTTCTTTTGATCGCTCTTCAAGAGTCTAAAATAGACTCTGATGGATCAAGTTTGAGACCATTCTGAAAATTTTCTTGCTGTGACGAACGAAGCTGATACACTTTTCTAACATTACAACAAAGATCTGATTGACATCAACTGATCTGAAAATAATCTGGCATAGATAAATTGAACTTTAAAAAAAAATTACAGTGCTCAGACTTCCACAAGTACCCCTAATCTTTTGTAGCGAAACTTATTGATCACGCCTCGTATATAAATATTACAAAACTTGAATCTTATTGGCAATAAATTTCACTTATTACGTTGGATAATATTTTTTTGTTTATATTTAAAAATTTCAATTAAGAATAGATATTTAAGATCTATTAAAAAAGCTTCGTAATTCAAAAGTTACGATTGCTCCATAAATTTTTAAACTCCGTCTTTATAAAATAAAATCTAAATTGTTTTATATCTAACATATTTTTTTTTGATTTGGGACACATCTTAATCACAAAAAAACAAAAGTGGACTTTTTACTTCCAGAAAACACTTTGATCTATCTCTATATAATATATATTACAATCTTTACAATTTCTTAGCATTAAGTTCTTCTAACAATATGCCATCATGGAAACTTTTTAGAAACTTATCTGTTTTTTTTCTATCGCCTGATTTTGGTGTTATTCAAGAATGTAATTCAAGGAAAATTAATTGCAGTTGCGTATACTCTGCGTATATATTAAAACCAGTTCTCTCTGGGCGGAATTTAAAAACAGGAATAGATGCATTTATGTTCGTTTAGTATCCGAGGAGGTTAAAAGCATTAAATTTTGATAATTCACATAATAGTTTCCTATGGCCAGAATATTTCATTGATTATTTATGTGAAAGATGGATCCCATGTCAGGCTCCGACATCCGTCTTGTGTTTACATTACCGCCCAGAGACAGTACACTGCAGTACAAAAGATGCGTACACCTCTGAAATAACTTTCTTTGCATTAAATCCTTGGTGTTATTGTCCAAATTAAAGGGACTGTGAGCCTAATTTTGAGTGATCCCCCTTGCTAAAAAATGCCCGATTAAGAGCGATACCCTAGATTTAAAATGCTGAAGATAACGACTAGGATTAAAAGTGATTATTTCTGTGAATTTCTCCATTGTTTCTCACAAGAAAGAAACGCGCAAGTCACTTTTTAAGAGAAATTACAGATGAAAATAAACAAAAACATCGATATCTATTTCATATTCTCTTGAAGTAATTTGTTCACAACCATTATAAAATGTGAATAGTAATTCTGCATTTTAAATTAGAAAAGGTAATTCTATGTTTTTTCAAGGTCGATGATGCTTTTGCTGAGTTCCAGATTGACGGTGGTATGATTGACGCTGCCCACCTCAAGGGATTGATGTGCTCCAAGTAAACCCTCCAACATCTCCTCCATCCACATTCCACCGCTCCATATGTTATCCATAGTTCCCGGATTTTCAATTTTATAACTTTTCCCGCCAAAAATAATTGCAGCTGATCGCAAAAATCAGCTGATTCAAGTTTTACTTCCAGTAACAGCAGACTTTTTGACAAAGGAATTGAGTCACAATCTCTGAATTTCCAATCTCTATATCTGTGCAACCCATTGTCTTAGAGCTTAAATATTTCAAACTATGAATACTGACAGATCAAATATTATAAGTTTGAAATATCAAAGATTATCAGCAGCAGGTTGTAAAGAAATGGGGAATAGAAAATTTGAGCCTGTGGCAAAGACTCAATTTCTTTAAAAAATATAACATTTGTTCTACAAACCATAAATAAAAATTTTAAAAAATAATAATTTTTCATTTAAAATCACTACTTTAGCTGTAAACAAACTTTTGATTATAATTAAAAATAAAATAAATTGGTAAATATCAAAAATTTAATTTATTCTTTTCTAAATAATTTGTCATGATAAAATGTTTTAAGTTCTTTCTTTGATCCATTCAGCTACATCTTGGAAAGCTTCATTTCTAAAATAAAAACATAAAGTTTAGTCAGAGATCAAATAAAAGCTTGCCTGAGGTAAAAATTGAACAAGAATCAGATAAAAGTATTCTCAGAAATGGAAAAGAATGTCTAGAATTTTAAGAAGTTTAGCAAAGTGAAAAATGTGGTAGAGTGTATTTGACCTGGCAGAAGTGTACCTGACATGGGGCAGCTCAAAGAACAGCTGATGCTTACTTCCCTCGTACACTTTAAACTTCTTGTCCGCGCACATACTTCTCCTTTAAAGGGACTGTTCAACATATTTTAGAATACACATGACAACCAAATTTTTTAAATCAGTATACCATGAACAAAAATGAAAGGAAATAATTTTCATAATGTCATTTTCTGCCAGGGCCGTATTCAGAAAATTGTCGGAGGGGGGGGGGAGGGGGGGTGTTTAATTTCTTTTCTTTCTTGAGCGGGAATCAGCATCCATTAGAACCCAAAATCATCCTGGAAACCGTAGCTTTCCCTTATACAGGGAGGGGGGTAAGCCCCCATAGCCCCCCTGCTTTCAGCTCCTATAATTAATTATCAATTGTCGCGAAAATTATGTATTTTAATGAATCAATAACGAAATTTTTATATGATTCGGACGCCGCCGGGCATCTTAGAAAAATACAAGACATTTGCAGTATTTTCTTCAAAAGTTTAAACTTTTGTGTTTTGAATATTAAGGGCGAGCATTGATCTCCATGTTATGCAATCAATTCCGATGTCCTGTGGTAGGCATATCCTGTTTGGATAAATCTTATTGATTGATTCTTAAATTTAAAAGTGTCCGCACGGGATATTGAGATCAAGGGGTCAAGATTAACAATATTCCACTCAAAAGTTTCGTCCTCTATTAAGTAATTGTCAAGGTGACAAAATAGAAAGTCTACCAATGGGAAATACTTAAATATGTCCCATTTGGGTAGAAATGGTTAGAAAGATAAATATTTTTTGCCATCAGGGATGTATACAAGAAGGTGTCCAGGGATGTATACAAGAAGGTGTCCAGGGGTGTATACAAGAAGGTGTCCAGGGATGTATNCCCCACCCTTCATTAAACACCTCTGTCTGCCATGATAAATAAAGTGGTTTTGCCAATAAAAAGATAATTTTACTAGTGCATTGGCGTTTTTTTCAGTTGCGTGGCTTTACATTACAACAAATTTCAGGATTGGGAACACACACAACTATAAAGTCTATCTCACAATTCAAAGATGTTCAATGTGCCCGAATGTTTAAAATGAAAAATGTTTAAATTTGAAATAAATGTCACCTGTAGAGTAGATCAGATCCAACAGGATTACACAGAATATCTTTACTGCCATGTATGATCAAAAATGGTGTCCTAAATTAAAGTCATTATTACAAAAATGGTGTCCTAAATTGAAGTCATTATTACAAAATTGGTGTCCTAAATTGAAGTTATTATTGCAAAAATGGTGTCCTAAATTGATGTCATTATTACAAAAATGGTGTCCTAAATTGAAGTCATTACTGCAAAAATGGTGTCCTAAATTGAAGTCATTACTGCAAAAATGGTGTCCTAAATTGAAGACATTATTGCAAAAATGGTGTTCTAAATTGAAGTCATTACTGCAAAAATGGTGTCCTAAATTGAAGTCATTACTGCAAAAATGGTGTCCTAAATTGAAGTCATTACTGCAAAAATGGTGTCCTAAATTGAAGTCATTGCTGCAAAAATTGTGTCATAAATTGTTGTCATTATTGCAAAAATGGCCCCATAAAATTTCGTCATTATTGCAAAAATGGTGTCATAAATTGTTGTCATTATTACAAAAAATGGTGGCCTAAATTGTTGTCATGATTACAAAAATGGTCTCCTAAATTGAAGTCATTATTGCAAAAATGGTGTCCTAAATTGAAGTCATTACTGCAAAAATGGTGTCATGAATTGTTGTCATTAATACAATAATGGTGTCCTAAATTGATGTCATGATTACAAAAATAGTGTCTTAAATTGAAGTCATTACTGCAAAAATGGTGTCATAAATTGTTGTCATTATTGCAAAAATGGTGTCATAAATTGTTGTCATTATTACAAAAAATGGTGTCCTAAATTGTTGTCATGATTACAAAAAAAGGTGTACTAAATTGTTGTCATGATTACAAAAATGGTCTCCTAAATTGTTGTCATGATTACAAAAATGGTATCCTAAATTCAAGTCATTATTACAAAAATGGTGTCCTAAATTGTTGTCATTAATACAAAAATGGTGTCCTAAATGGTTGTCATGATTACAAAAAAAGTGTCCTAAATTGAAGTCATTACTGCAAAAATAGTGTCATAAATTGTTGTCATTATTACAGAAATGATGTCATAAATTTATGTCATTATTACAAAAATGGTTTCTTATATTCTTGTCATTATTACAAAACTGGTGTCCAAAATTGATGTCATTATTACAAAAATTATGTTCTCAATTGATGTCATTATTACAAAAATGGTTTCTTATATTCTTGTCATTATTACAAATACAAAATGGTGTCCTAAAATGTTGTAACAAAATTGTGTCCTAAAATGTTGTTACAAAATCGTGTCCTAAAATGGTGTTTTTATTAGGGACAAAACTTGTGTTCTAAAATGTTGTCATTTTAATTGTAACAAAATAGCCTCTTAGAACATTTTTGTTATCTGGTAACAAAATGTCACAACAAATTTTCTTCCTAGAACCTGTCATGACAAAATAATATCCTAAATGTTTTTGTTATTAGTTGCAAAAAAGATGTTATAAAATGTTGTCATTATTAGGAAATAAATCGTGTCAAGAAATGTTGTCTGAAAATGGAATTTGCAAATTGCTCAAATAAAAACTAAAAAAATGAAGATACTTTTGTTTTCCACCAGATTAAATGATTGAATAATTGAATAATTGAATAATTAAATTGTTTAGAGGGACTGTAAGCGTAATTCCATTTAAATAAAGCAATGCACGATTCACAAAGGTACCCTTGAAACTTTTATCTGATCAATAATGTGGAAGATATTGTCGTTTGTCTATGTAAAATTGTTTTTAATTCTAAGAATTTCTATATTTTTCTTGTAGCAGAAATACGCGGCTCCCTTTTGTAAAGAAGCCGCAATTGAAAATTATCAGATTTTCTAAATGATTAACATTGATATCTAATTCATAATTGATAAAACAAAACTTTAAAGGGTGCTNACTTGAAGAAACATACAAAAGTTTAAAGGGTACCCTTGTAAAGTAGGCGTTGCCATTTTATATTATTAAATAATTATTTGATGGTAAAAAATAAAGTAATCAGATAGTTGAAAACAATTAGATTAATAATTATTTAATTACCTGACATCAGAAAGTTGGTTTATATTTTCATCTAAACAGTCTGTAAAGGCAAGCAGAAGCCTAACCTTACATCCTTAATCAAATATTAAAATAAAACTTTTCCTATAAAAAAATACCCAAATTTCAAATATAATTTTACGATTACCATCCCTTTCATATTATTAGAATATGGTGTAAGTAAAGCTTACTAACCTCCCGTCCATCGGAGTTCATCTTTCTTCAGTATTTTGTGCATTTCCATATCCCTGGTCACCATATGGAGGTCAGGACCACCCAGAGGGGTCTAAATATATGGAGGTCAGGACCTCCTACAGGAGTCTAAATATATGGAGGTCAGGACCACCCAGAGAGGTCTAAATATATAGAGGTCAGGATCACCCAGAGGGGTCTAAATATATGGAGGTCAGGACCTCCTACAGGAGTCTAAATATATGGAAGTTAGGACCACCCAGAGGGGTCTAAATAAAAGGAGGTCAGGACCACCTATAGGGGTCTAAATATAAAGAGGTCAAGACCACCCAGAGGCGTCTAAACATATGGAGGTCAGGACCAGCTGGAGAGGTTCAAATATATAGAGGTCAGGACCTCCTGAAGGGGTCTGAATGTAGAAACATAAAGATAGTTTTAAATTTTCGAAAGAAAGAAAAAATAAATTAATGTTTTAAAGGTTTGAAATAAAATCATTTCTTGAAAAACAAATGTAGAAAATTCATGGAATTAAAAATATATTTGTTAAGATAGGTTTTGTATATTAAATTTAGATACATTACCTCTGGAATGAAGAGACTGAGAAACTTCAGAACAGCTCGGCTTACAAAGGTCCGAAAAGGAGACGCTCTGAGGTCCATCCCAAGGACCTGCGGACCAGGAATGATGAGAGGACCGTTGAGGATCATTCCGTGGAAGAAATTCTTATGCATGAGGGCGGAGCGCACAGTAATCATCCCACCCATAGAGTGCCCCACAATGAAGAGCTTCAAGCTTGGATACTTCTCCTGGATTTACAGATATAATTAGGATAAGTTAGAAAAGAAAAAAATAATTAGAATGGACCAGGATTTGGGTTAGCTTATTAGAGTCAGCTGATTAGGGTCAGAGTATTAGGGTCAGAGTATTGGAGTCAGCTAATTAAAGTCAGCTGATAAGAGAGTCAGCTGATAAGAGAGTTAGCTGATAAGATAGTAAGTTAGAAAATAAAAAAAATAATTAGAATGGACCAGGATTTGGGTTAGCTGATTGGAGTCAGCTGCAGATTGAGGTCAGCTGATTAGAAACAGTTTATTAGAGTCAGCTGATTAGGGTCAGAGTATTAGGGTCAGAGTATTGGAGTCAGCTAATTGAAGTCAGCTGTCAAGAGAGTCTGCTAATAAGAGAGTTAGCTGATAAGATAGTCAGCTAACAAGCGAGTCAGCTGATAAGAGAGTCAGCTAATAAGAGAGCCAGCTAATAAGAGAGTCAGCTGATAAGAGAGTCAGCTAATAAGAAAGTCAGCTAATAAAAGAAACAGCTAATAAGAGTTGGCTGATTGAGGTCAACTGATTTGTGTCAGCTCATTAGGGTTAGATAGTTGAGGTCAGCTGATTAGAGTCAACTGATTAGATTCACCTCATTAGGGTCGGGTAATTTTTGTCCTGCTGATTAGGATTAGCTAACTAGGGTAAGCTGGTAGGGGTGAACTGATTGGGTTGGGCTGATTTGGGTCGGATGATTGAAGTCAGCTGCAGATAAGGGTCGGATGATTTTCGCCAGCTGATTGAGGTCAACCCATTAGATTAGATTGATCTTATTAGAGTCAGCTGATTAAGGTAAGCTGAATGGGGTGAAATGATTAGGGTCAGCTGATTACAGTCAGCTAATTACAGTCAGTGAATCAAAGCCAACTGATTAGAGTCAGCTGATTTAAGCCAGCTGATTACATTCAGCTGATTAGAGTCAGCCGATTTGAGTCAGCTGACCGGTCAGCTGTTTACCTTCACAAGAAGACAGTGTTGAATAACATCGTCACAATAATCATCCACGTTCTCAATATACACTCTTCAATCATCAATAAATGCTTAAATAAGTTAAGAAAACTATTCTAAATCAAATTTGCCTCACAAAAAGCAAAATGATTTTTTTTTCTCAATTTTAATATATATTTCGGTCTTTGTGCTATTTTTTTAATATTTTAATTTAATGAAATTGAATTATTGATAAAATTCCTTCGTCCATCACTTTTCCCGTGTCCTACATGATCGTGGCCGAAAACATAAAATCCTTCATCATCTAAAAGTATGGATAAAGAAATATAAAGCTGTGTCGTTTATATCAATACAATGAAATGACTTCGAGTTAAAGTTTGATCTCTACCAAGGTTTCATCAGCATGCAGATACACATAAACACGGAAACCATGAGAAACTGCAGTCAGTTAACATCTTCTCTTTGTTTACTTGTACACTAGTAAATTGAAAAAAGTCTCTTTGAAATCAAGATTTAAGTATTAAATTTATCTTTATTGTATTGACCACTAGATAAAATGTTAAATTAGAATAACATTATCAGGTTTTTAAAGAGATCGTACACGTTATTCATCTTATCCAGAGTAAATTCACATGCTGCAGTTTCCATACGTTCTCCTTTAAAACTTTATCTGAATAATAGTATGGAAGATAATTTTTAATTCCGGTTTCTGTATTTTAAAAGTAATTCAAGTTTATTTTGACAGAAAGGACGAAAATTCACAGAATTATTTTTTTTAGAAAAACGACGACATTTTTCTCAGATAAACAGGTTTAAAGGATACCGTTGAAAATTAGGCATACACGATACAACTCATTAAATGGGCCGCGAGGAGTCACAATTGAAATAATGTCGACAACACCTTCAATTTAGAATAATGTCGACAACACCTTCAATATAAAATAATGTCGAAAACACCTTGAATTTGAAATAATGTCGACAACACCTTCAATTTGAAATAATGTCGACAACACCTTTAATTTGAAATAATGATCGACAACATCTTTAATTTAAAATAATGTCGACAGTAACTTTAATTTGAAATAATGTCGACAACACCTTTAATTTAAAATAATGATCGACAACATCTTTAATTTAAAATAATATCGACAGTACCTTTAATTTGAAATAATGTCGACAACACCTTTAATTTTAAATAATGATCGACAAAATCTTTAATTTAAAATAATGTCGACAGTACCATTAATTTGAAATAATGTCGAGAACACCTTTAATTTGAAATAATGATCGACAACATCTTTAATTTGAAATATTGTCGATAGTACCTTTAATTTGAAAAAATGTCGACAGTACATTCAATTTGAAATAATGTCGACAACACCTTCAATTTGAAATAATGTCGACGGTACCTTTAATTTGAAAAAATGTCGACAGTACATTCAATTTTAAATAATGTCGACAACACCTTTATTTTGAAATAATGTCGATAGTACCTTTAATTTGAAATAATGTCGACAACACCTTCAATTTGAAATAATGTTGACTGTACCTTTAATTTGAAATAATGTCGACAACACCTTCAATTTGAAATAATGTCGACAGTACCTTTAATTTGAAATAATGTCGACAGTACATTCAATTTTAAATAATGTCGACAACACCNACAGACTAATACAGAGAGAACCAGAAATACAAGGGCCCGAGCTGTTCCTAAATTCTATTCTATTACAGACTAATACAGAGAGAACCAGAAATACAAGGGCCCGAGCTGTTCCTAAATTCTATTCTATTACAGACTAATACAGAGAGAACCAGAAATACAAGGGCACGAGCTGTTCCTAAATTCTATTCTATTATAGACTAATACAGAGAGAACCAGAAAACTCAGGAATGGGAAGACCAATTTTAGACTAAATTTATGACTTTAACAACACTAATGAACGTTAACCACAGCAGTGATTTAATAAGTTACGAGTAAACACAATTTTTTAAAACAACATCAAAAACACGGTAATGTTACATTGTCTATATGCAACTATATGAACTTCTGACCTACTAACTTTGTGACCTACTGCAGTATCGGACCTACGCCAGCTGTTTATTTTTTTATTACGTGAGGGTTAGGTTAGGTTAAGACAATTTCTGGCCCAAGCGCTGCGGCTAGGGCAGGCTAGGGTGGCCGAGCGCCGCGGCCACAAGTCCATGTAGCAGCTGTAAAACCACGTGCTAGTAGGTTTGATGTGTAGTAAAGCGGATTTGACGTAGGTCAGAAGTGGAGTATCGCGGATTTGCGTAGGTCGAAAAATACACCACCCAAATACACTTAGATATAGCATTAATGTCGTCTTCCTATTCCACAGTTTACTGATTCTCAACACATCTGGTGAAATTCAAAATATTGAACCAAGATGGAAACAAATATTAAAACATTATAGAATACATTTCAATAATATTATCTTAAGTCTTGACTGATTTTTAAAATTTTTTAATGAATTTTAATAATGTTCTTAACTGTACTTTACTGGACTATCATGTACTGTACTGTCTGTATTGTACTCTATTATTAATTACTGTACTGTAATATCCTATATGTAATGTACTGTTCTGTAATCTTCTATTAAGTGTATGCACTGTATGTACTGTACTCTACTATAATGTGTTGTACTGTAATCTTCTAGCATGTACTGTACTGTTTGTACTGTACTCTACTATCATGTGCTGTACTGTAATCTCCTATCATGTACTGTACTGTCTGTACTGTACTCTACTATCATGTGCTGTGCTGTAATCTCCTAGCATGTACTGTGCTGTCTGTATTGTACTCTACTATAATGTGCTGTGCTATAATCTCCTAGCATATACAGTACTGTCTGTATTGTACTCTACTATCATGTGCTGTGCTGTAATCTCCTAGCATGTATTGTACTGTCTGTACTGTACTCTACTATCATGAGCCGTGCTATAATCTCCTATCATGCACTGTACTGTCTGTACTGTACTCTAATATCATGTGCTGTACTGTAATCTTCTGTCATGTACTGTACTCTCTGTGCTGTACTCTACTATCATGTGTTGTGCTATAATCTCCTAGCATGTACTGTACTGTCTGTACTGTACTCTACTATCCTGTGCTATGCTGTAATCTCCTATCATGTACTGTACTGTCTGTACTGTACTCTACTATCATTTGCTGTGCTGTAATCTCCTAGCATGTACTGTACTGTCTGTACTGTACTCTAATATCATGTGCTTTGCTGCAATCTCCTACCATGTACTGTACTGTCTGTACTGTACTCTACTATCATGTGCTGTGCTGTAATCTCCTGGCATGTTATATAACATTGATAAGAACAATTTTTATAATGATTTCATATAATTACTTACACGAATGTCATCTATTAAGAAAGAAATCAAAGTTTACATCAGCGTCCATGTTTGGTTTAGGCCTTACTGAAGCTATACTCAAGATCCAGGCATACATATGTGTGTGCGCGTAGCAATTGGAAATGTAGATATTCTATACAGTAAAATGGGAATAGATCAAATGCCTAATTTCAAAACAGCATGTACTGTACTGTCTGTACTGTACTCTACTATCATTTGCTTTGCTGTAATCTCCTATCATGTAATGTACTGTCTGTATTGTACTCTACTATCATGTGCTGTGCTATAATCTCTTAGCATGTACTGTTCTGTCTGTACTGTACTCTACTATCATGTGCTATGCTGTAATCTCCTATCATGTACTGTACTGTCTGTACTGTACTCTACTATCATGTGCTATGCTGTAATCTCCTATCATGTACTGTACTGTCTGTACTGTACTCTACTATCATGTGCTGTGCTGGAATCTCCTAGCATGTACTGTACTGTCTGTACTGTACTCCACTATTATGTGCTGTGCTTTAATATCCTAGCATGTACTGTACTGTCTGTACTGTAATCTAATATCGTGTGCTGTGCTGGAATCTCCTAGCACGTACTGTACTGTCTGTACTGTACTCCACTATCATGTGCTGTGCTGTAATCTCCTGGCATGTAATGTACTGTTTGTACTGTACTCTACTATCATGTGATGTGTTTTAATCTCCTAGCATGTACAGTACTGTTTGTACTGTACTCTACTATCATGTGCTGTACTGTAATCTCCTATCATGTACTGTACTATCTGTATTGTACTCTACTATAATGTGCTGTGCTGTAGTCTCCTACCATGTACCGTATTGTTTGTACTGTACTCTACTAAAATGTGCTGTGTTGTAATCTCCTAGCATGTACTGTAATGTGCCGCACTTACCTCTTGGTTTCCATGTATGTACCGCCAACTTTTCACCGCGGGAATTCTCCAGATCCTCTTCATTGTACATAATTTCTTAACAGTTGCTACAATCGTTGAAGGTAAAACTAAGATGAGGGGGGGGGGAAGAGTTTTATTACAATTTGTTGTCATGCGATAAAGGTTTAGTTTTTGACAGGGATGAGACTTCAGAGACGACTGTACTGAATATACTGCTTTATTATATATTAATCCTTTCCTGCAACTGTAAAACTTGTTTCTTTCTTTGACCAATCATAGTTTGTCATATTTAAAGACTTTTAGTTTTATGTCGTCTTTACAGTCTCATCTTTTGTGGGTAACTATATAGTAAACAATAACAATATTTTTAAAAATGCTGGATATTCCTAAGAACCAAAAACCATGACTTAAAATATCTGCAAGAAAAATCTCTGAAAAAAAATCTTGAAAAAAAAGTCCGAAATGCACTTAAGTCCTTTGAAAAAAGTCATAAAAAAATATATTCTTTTTGTGACTTAATTGAATGAATTACTAATCCCAGAGCATGCCCTTAATTATCATTGTTTTCTAAATGTAAATTGTCTCACTGCTCTTGGTTACAATCCATGATAAGCTATGTTCTGCAAGCGCGAAACTTAAGAGTATCGTAATGAAACCCAGTATAGGTCAAATGGGGTCAATCAGTTTTGTTGTAGATACTAATATTTTTGTTAAGGCATATTATTTTATGTGGTTTCTTTACATTTTTTTTGATTTCTGATTTCCTTAATTAAATCTACATAAATGTTCAGACCCCAAAAAGGAAACTCGTTCAACGATACTCTTTTAAATTTCCGTCTCAGGTCAAAGTTTCCCTCACACTCGTAACATAGTACATAGTATAAAATAGTACATAGTATAAAATAGTGCATAGTATAAAATAGTACATAGTATAAAATAGTACATAGTATAAAATAGTACATAGTATAAAATAGTACATAGTATAAAATAGTACATAGTATAAAATAGTACATAGNGTCTGTTTGTTTTTTATTTCAGTCCCTTTAATAAAACTTAAAATTAGGTCTATAGTCCCTTTAATAAAACTTAAAATTTGTTCTATAGTCCCTTTAATAAAACTTTAAATTTGTTCTATAGTCCCTTTAATAAAACTTAAAATTAGGTCTACAGTCCCTTTAATAAAACCTTAAAATTAGGTCTATAGTCCCTTTAATAAAACTTAAAATTAGGTCTACAGTTCCTTTAATAAAAATTTAAATTTGTGTCTACAGTCCCTTTAAGAAAACCTTAAAATTAGGTTTACAGTCCCTTTAATAAAACTTAAAATTAGGTCTACAGTTCCTTTAATAAAAATTTAAATTTGTGTCTACAGTCCCTTTAAGAAAACCTTAAAATTAGGTTTACAGTCCCTTTAATAAAACTTAAAATTAGGTCTACAGTTCCTTTAATAAAAATTTAAATTTGTGTCTACAGTCCCTTTAAGAAAACCTTAAAATTAGGTTTACAGTCCCTTTAATAAAACTTAAAATTAGGTCTACAGTTCCTTTAATAAAAATTTAAATTTGTGTCTACAGTCCCTTTAAGAAAACCTTAAAATTAGGTTTACAGTCCCTTTAATAAAATTTAAAATTTGTGTTGCCAACATAACAAACATAACATTAATAAATAGTGTGCTACTTGATCAAAGTTCGCTCAGTAACTAAACTAATGTTGACTTTTCTTGATAACAATATGATCTATCATCAGAACTATTGTTTCTTGCGTTATAATCGATGCATTATCATCGGAGCTATTGTTTCTGGCATTATAATTGATACTTAACTATCGGATATATACATTAATTAAGGTGTACAACTAGTCTTTATTAAGCTATTATCCACTGTTCTTTATTTATATATTTCACTATATTATACATATTCCACTATATTCTTTATTCAAATAACATCTAATTAATTCCAAATACATCTAATTTATTCCAATTACATCTAGTTTATTCCAATTACATCTAGTTTATTCCAATTACATCTAGTTTATTCCAATTACATCTGATAAATTCCAATTACAACTAATATATTCAAATTACATCTAATTTATTCCAATTACATCTAATATATTCCAATTACATATAATTTATTCCAATTATATCTAATTTTTTCCAGCTAAAAATTTAATCTTGGTGTTCAGCTGCAGCTTTAGCAGTGTACACATGATAAACACCTAAACAGACAAAAAAGATTAAGGGGACTGTAAAGGAAAAATGAAAGGGGGTATAGGATGAAACTTGAGAATCTCAGGCGTCTTACGATACCTTTAAGACATCTATCTGATATTCCTATCCCGAGAAATTGATATAAAACTTTGTCAAANACTTTGGAAACTAATATTTTTTCATTATTTCGTTTGTTTAAACCCAAAACTTAAGCAATCTGAAAAAGACTATATCCTACAGAAACATAAGAATCTCAGGTTTGCTCTTGTTATAATTATTTAATTTTTATTTTGCATTTTTAATAGATATAATTGATAATATTATTACTTTTAATCCGTATAGTCCATATTATGTTACCAGTACCTCAGCCAATGGCACGTGATTTCTGTATGTACCGTACCACGTGACAACGATACTGCACTGTCATTAGCTGAAGTTATTGTGGTGACATAATACGGACTATAAGGACTATATGTAATAATATTATCAATTGTGTCTATTCAAAATGTAAAATTAAAATTAAAAAATTATAATAGGAGGAAACCTGAGATTCTCAGGCTCCTGTGGGATATAATCGTTTTCAGATTGTTTTGTATTTGTTGAATATGATCTGTTTAATACTACAACTTTTATACAAAATTGCATATATATGAATTTTCGTATAATTTTGACAAAGTTTTGTATCAATTTCTCGAGACAGGAACATCAGATATAAGTATCATTCAACGCCTGAGATTCTCATCGTATTCCCCCTTTCATTTTTCCTTTACAGTCCCTTTAAACATTTTTACTCTTTGTTGATGCAGTGTCACATGAAGTATAAAGGGTGAAAATCGCTAAATCCAAAAAAACACTACTTATTGAAATAGAACAATACCAGACATTCATAAACACACCCTAAGTCAGAACTATTTTTTGCATTTAATCTCAGGATTAAGCATTGATCTTCACCTCATGATGTGGTCATGTCAAACCAATTCTGAATTACTTTAATTAAGGAATTAGGCATTTATCATCAATTTTAAAAGTGTCAACATTGTATATCCAGTTTAAGCTTAACGATTAACGACCTCAGGAGGGAGAGAAGACAACCTCCCCAGCAAAAAAAAAATATTATGCAAATGTTAAGGATACTATAGATCGACTACTGTGCTTAAATAATCAATTTAGTCCCGTTTAAGTAGAAATTGACGATTATAAATGGAAGATCCTTCCCGGAAGACTGTTTGGGAAGGTTCGGAAGCCCTCTGGGGACGCGCACTGCCGCTAATAGGTAAAATGAGGTTTGGAAGCTGTGCAGGGGAGGTTACCTTCCCTCCCTCATCTCAGAACTTTTGTGTTTAAATCTGGGGATCAAGCATTGATCTCCATCTTATCTCCTCTATAATATCCTGCTGCGGTGACCATATAAAGGGATTAAACCTTTATCATTAAATTCAAAAGTTCCCATACAGGACATCGAGAAGTAAGATTAACAGCACTTTACACACAAAAGTTCTATAGTTTTGAACAGAATTATATGAATTTAATATTTTAATGTGACAATTTCATAATGCTACAGATTTTCGTACGCGGTCTTACCAATAATGATATACGGAGCTGAGAACATGATCATGATTGTAGGTATACCATAAGCAGCAAACATCTGGAGTATTTATTCCAATTATATCTAATTTATTCCAATTACATCTAATATATTCCAATTACATATAATTTATTCCAATTATATCTAATATTCCAGCTAAAACTTTAATCTTGGTGTTCAGTTGCAGCTTTAGCAGTGTACACATGATAAACACCTGAACAGACAAACAAAAAAGATTAAGGGATTAAGGGTAAAGGAAAAATGAAAGGGGGTATAGGATGAAACCTGAGAATCTCAGGCGTTGAATGATACATATAAGACATCTATCTGATGTTTCTGTCTCGAGAAATTAATATAAAACTGTGTCAAATTTATACGAAAATTCATATATATGCAATTTGGTATAAAAGTTGTAGGTTTAAACAGCAAATATGAAACCAATCTGAAAAAGACAATATCCTACAGAAACCTAAGAATCTTAGGTTTGCTCTTGTTATAATTATTTAATTTTAATTTTGCATTTGATAATATTAATACTTTTAATCCGTATAGTCCATATTATGTCACCAGTACTTCAGCCAATGGAAGTGCAGTATACTGGTCACGTGATTTCTGTTTGTACCACGTGACAATGATACTGCACTGTCATTAGCTGAAGTTATTTTGGTGACGTAATACGGACTATAAGGACTATATGTAATAATATTATCAATTGTGTCTATTCAAAATGTAAAATTAAAATTAAAAAAATATAATAGGAGCAAACCTGAGATTCTCAGGCTCCTGTGGGATATAATCGTTTTCAGGTTGGTTTCGTATTTGTTGAATATGATCTGTTTAATACTACATCTTTTAGACAAAATTGCATTTATATGAATTTTCGTAAAAATTTGATAAAGTTTTATATCAATTTCTCAATACAGGAACATCAGATAGAAGTCTTATATGTATCATTCAACTCCTGAGATTCTCAGGTTTCATTTTAAACATTTTTCCTTTTTGTTGATGCTGTGTCACATGAAGTCCATGAAGTATAAAGGGGGAAAATCGCTAAATCCAAAAAACACTAGTTATTGAAATAGAACAATACCAGACATTCATAAACAAACCCTAAGTCAGAACTATTTTTGCATTGAATCTCAGGATTAAGCATTGATCTTCATCTCGTGAAAACCTGTCTATATGTAGTTATTTAATTTCTAATGGATTTCCTGTTGATTCTGAATAACTTTAATTAAGGAATTAGGCATTTATTATCAATTTTAAAAGTGTCAACATTGT